ATTTATTGTAATAATTGCATAATTGCACAAGTTAAAGCTAGTTAATAGAAATATTAAAGAGAAATATGTGAAGATACTTCAGATGCTTTCCCAAAATTATGGAATTATAAATTCCAGTTCCAAAATAAGAATGGCCACTAGTTCAGGCCCATATGGAATCCTTTCTGAGTTACTGAAAAATAGGCAAATCACTTGATAAATTAGTACTACTCAAACAAGATAATAATGATTTGAGGGTAAAGTTAATCTCATTAATTTATGACAACAGAAAAGCTGTGCTCCAGTTCTTCTGCTGTTGAAATGATACCTACATAAGTGTAACAAACTGATATTTCTGCTCTTCACTAATTACAAACAGAAGTTGTATCTTAAAAACTGGAATAGTTGTGATGGTGATAAAGTTATGCTACAGAAAACGAAGATTACAAAAAAACTCTCTTAAATTCAATGAACAGGACCAAGTGTGTGATCCACACAAGAATAAAAAAAAAAAGGATTATTTATTGTAACAAGTGACAGGATTAAAATATTTGTGCTGTCCTCTTTGATTATAAAAAGAAAAAAGAAAGAGAAAAAAGAAAACCACCACCAAACCCCACAGCCCCACCAACTGCTTTAACAACAGCTAGATTTCAAAACAGCCTGTGGAGTAGAAAAAATAAAACACCAGAAACACTTTATCCCATTACAGTGTGAAAAAAGAAATAAGGCTGTGATCAAAGTATCTAGGTAATCTTTCAAAAAATCCTGGTAGGACTCTGGTTGTAATTTTTGTGCTATGCATAGTAATTTTATATTTCTAATATAAATTCCTAGAGCCAATATATCTGAAGTTAGTCACTTCATGAAGCAGGAATCTTTGAAGACAAAATATGGCCTTGCTGAATGCACAACAATATTAATTACATTCATTTTCTCTTAAATGTGCAGCATCTTCTGCTGAACATAAAATTAATCCTAACCTTCACAAACATTAAGTAATTAATGCTTTCAGAAGAGAACAAACCAAGAATTATTCAGGATTTCTGTAATAAATTTACTTCGAGATTTTTACCTTAAATAATCTTGTGGAATGATACGGATGACTGTTTTAGTTTCCACATCCAGAGGAACTGGCATCAGCATTAAAAAGGGAGGATCAAAATTGAGTTTTGGTGACTTCACAGTGCCAGACAATGTTATCTTGTAAGGTGATGGATGATCATCCAGACACACTGATATTTCAGATGCATATGTCCCAGGACAAGCTGTCACAAAGAGTCAAAAAACTATGTTACCATGAATATATGCAACCTAAAGAGTTCTAGTGGGAGTTTTTGGGTTGGGTTTTTTGTTTGTTTTAAAAATCATTGGTATGGCTTTGCTTACTCCAAGTGTATTTGAACACACAATAAATATTGCATCAGTAGAATATTTACAAAGAAAGCTTAGAACACTTGCCCCTAGCAAAACTTATTTTTTTTGTTTGCTGGAAATTTTTCAGAGTTCTTCATTTCTTGTATTAATATACTGTTATATATAATAGCAATGCACCAGTTAGCAGAATTTTAAGAAGTGCAGTCATATTATAGATTACATTAATGGACACAGAGAATGCTAATTTTATAAGGAATAACCATCAGAAGCATCTGATTGCCAAGGCAAGAAAAAGTTGGTGTCTTTTAAGAGGGCAATTAGTGCACTCAAACCTGTAGTGTTGCCAAGTCAGCCTCACACTAACCAGCAGGACATATCCACCATCCACTAAGAGCAACTCACGTTCCATGAATCATTTAGGTTGGTAAAGACCTTCCACAGACCAAGTCCAACTGATGGCAAGAGATGCTAATAGAGCCAGAACGTGGCCTGTGAATCCCTTTGGTTCAGACCAGAAAACAAGAATGTGGCAAACTGCAAACCTGGGACCCTGCTGCAGTGTTTGCAATAATAACAAATAATAAGTGTTGCAGCATATTTAAACCAATGACTCCAATGCACACTCAAAGTTCATGTTAAGGTTTGTTTGCCCCCACATATGACAACTTCACAGTGCAAACCTATGAAGGTAATTAGCACACCAGTCATTAACTAGGTCTCCTGTGTGGGTTTTGATATATCTAATGTTCTTACAAGAAGAGTAATGACAGTCACTGTATAGCACAAGTAGGCTATAAATCATGGGAAAATACTCAGAACATTGAATTAAGGGTAAGTGAATTTTACCGTTATTTATGGTTTTCTGTAAACAAAAGATAGGGAAACACAGCAAAAATACAGATAACTTCAAATTACAATTTATCAGTCATATTTATGTATAGACACAGCTGCATTTACACATACAATTTATTCAGTAATTCAAAATATTGGCATTTATTTTATTTATGCTGTTTTCTGCTTCCCATTCTGCAACACATAAGTAACATGTGCAATTAAGTGCTGCTCTTGCATATTCACAACACTTACAGATGAACATTTAATACTGTCTTCTCGATTTATCTTACAGAACCACGGCAAGACTTTTATGCCTATATTTTTCTTACTTTATAATTATATTAAATTGTTCCCAGTGCTTAATTGAGGCTATAGATTTCAATATTGTGATGAAGAACAACAGCAACATCTTTCTTTAGGACAGGGATGCTCACTTGCTGACTCAGGATCAGATCTAAGTTACAAAACAACTTCTCTTCCCCTTGAGAATGCTGAGGCCCCAAAAGTAGAGCACTTAAACTGTCAAAATGACAGAGCTCTGGAGGCATCAGCTGCATAAGCTGGTGGGTTTTGTCAGCTCAAATCCAGGGTTATATTCTAGGATTCTGTGAATCTTGTATATTGCTCTCTACCCTAAACACTTGACTGGGAATAAGGTAGAATCCTAATATTCCTATTCTGCTATTCTTCTTCTAGTGTTTGTGATTGATTTCCATCTTTCTGCACACCCCCAACTTTTGTTAGAAATCTATTTTACATAGCTTTACTTAGGGACCCATTACCTGAGCAGGCTAATCCAAAAAAATACCATAGCTAAGTGATTTTGTATCTCATTGAGGCAGGAAATTTCCATTCTGGTCTAAATGATGCCTATTTAGAAAAAAGTTCACATACTTTCCAAGTACACTTGGAAAGCTTTAGTTCCTAAGTCAGTCAACCTAAATTCATGTGAAGGAGCAGTACTAAAAATGATGCAGCTATCCCAGGCCTAGATGCTTTACGTGCACAAAACCTGATGCTTTCTATGTGCAAACCAGACTTTTAATATAATTCAAAGTGATTCCATGCTTTTTTGTTAGGGCTACAGGTGTTTTATTTTCTCAGAACTACAACAAACCTTGAGTTAATCAAGAACTAGTACTGATTCATCATAAAAACTACTTTAAACAGATCTATGAAAATGGTATATTGGCCTAACTGTAGAAGAATTCATAAAATTACTTACAAGGGCAGAAAAACACAGCAATAGTGGTTTTTTCTCCTGGATTAAGAAATCCAGTCTGCAGACTGAATCTAAAAACATCATCTTCTGTACTTTTGCCTGCATCATTGCAACTCAATTTCCATGTCAAATGGCTCTTCGAGATATTCTTCAGGTCAAGCTTCTGTAAATATTTGCAGAGAAAGGAGTATATGTTGAACGAGGGAAAGAAGCAAACACCATGACACTTGTCGTATTCCTTTATCCAAAGCTTTCTTTGTGCAAACACATCACAGTGAAAGCACTAGAAACCAATGAAGAACCAGTTTATTGTATCTGTGAGGTGAGAAGAGGAATATGCCTATCAGCACAAGATAGATGCTCTCCAGTCACTCACCACAGTCACAAGGAGCAATACTCTCTTGCCAGAATGGAAAATCTCATTTATGCAAGGTAAAGAGATCAAAGCATCACGGTGGGAGTGCTTAGCCAAACAGAACTGAGGTTTATTCCTGATACAAATGAAGCACAGCAAGCATTTAACACATGGCTCACAGCTAGACTAGAGGTGGAGGTGTTGGAAAAGGAAGAAGTTCAGAATAGATTTTCAAAACCCATTATTTCAATTCAAGAAGACAACAGTGGAAATGGAAATTAAAAAACCAAATCCTGTATCTCAGAGCTACCCTTTTCAACTCCTGAAACTCAGCTAGGAAAATGCCTTGCTTTGTATTAGCACTGTTGTCTGAAGGTACTTGAAAAAGCAATTCAAGTGTTTCCATCACTGACAAAAGTATTTTTCTCTAATTTCCACACAAAGCCTTTGGGAATTAGATACAGAAAACTACGTGATGATATGTTTTGCATTCATACACATTTTCTGTGTTTCAAATATCCTGCTTAGTGCCTCTTTCCCATTGAGCCCTATATCATGACCAAGAATTTTTTGGGAGAGTACCAGTTGGCACAGATCAGAACCACACAAGGTACTGGGACAGCAATTTAACATGACACATTGATTGAATCCTGGCACCATCACTGTCTAGTGTACTAGTAGAGGCAGAAGAAGAAAATCTTCAGGACTGAATTATTTCTTACATAATTCATGCCCAGTTTCTCATGGTGCCCACACTTTCTCACATTATCAGAGTCAAGACAAGCCGAACTCTGAGTTTTGAAAAATTTACAGTAATTAAAAGACAAATGTAAAATCAAAACCGAACAAAATGACAATGGGAGAAGTTTCAAATATTTAAACCATGTATTCAGAATGTGACTGAATTTTGAGTTCTAAATCTGTCTTGTTTTCCTGGTAATTTCTGAGTAATTAAAAATCATAGCCAAGAATAACTACAGCACCACTGGTGATTCTGTACCTGAGAATTCAGACTCTCATCAGCAGTATTGAAACGTATGACACTGGAATGTTGCACGAATTTAAGTTCCATTGAGGAGAACTCCAATGGTGATAAAAGTGCTGTTGAAAAAAAATTAAGATGTTTAGACAGCATTATTTGACAAATATTTCCTTAAAGTCTCTTTATAAAATCATTGTTTCAGCACATGTTTAGCACAGAAGCTTCTCCCTTTGTTTTGCTTTTTGTGTTCCCATATTATATACATAATTACTGCAATTTAACTTTGTCTTATTATGACTCTCTAGCCACATTTAAAATTATTTAAATTTTATATCTACCAGACTTATAGCATCTCTCCTTCATATAAAGAGAGCCACAGAGCCACATGATCTTCACACAGCAGACGAATGCATTTACTTTTCTGATGGTAATCATCAAAAAAGACTTGAAAGGTTTTATAAAATAACATCATTTTCTTTTATTTCCTATCACTGGAAAAAAGAGACAGTTTTTTCTCCTTCAGTGCTTTCTTATACAGCAGTAAGCAGTGTCCAAGGGAAAAGTCCTACAAATATTTAAGATCTGCTTTTCTTCCCACATGCTGAAACAGTCTACAAACTTTGGTTTGAAAAAAAACTTCCAAAAAAATATTTATGATGGATTGAAAACATATTGACTACAATGAAGTTAAAAGAATGGGTTGACTACTCTGAGGTTATTGTGATTCTTTTCTCACGGTGAACTATCCTGAGTACAAACATCAGATATAAGCTATTGATTCCAGTGCCAACTGCACTGTCCTGTGCAGTGGAATTCTGGCCAACCACAGAAACTCACATGGGAAAAAAATTCTAAGAGAGAAAACAAATGTGCCATAAAGCATCCAGCAGTGAGAATTAGGCATATTTGTCAAATGTATAAAGATATATATAAATACATAAATATGTACTTAGATAAATACTTATAAGATACTTTTTCTCAACATAATTTATGTATAAAAAGTTCAGCTTTACACGTATTTAAAAATACAAATCGAAATTTGAAAATTTTGCAAGCTTCCAAGAAGTGTACAAATCATACAATTAGCCACCAAATTCCAGTTCAGTAGTAATTCTCTGCAATTAGAACACACACAAAAATAGGACTATGTGTGAAGCAGCTGTTCAAGCTCCTAGTTTACCTACCGATTGCTCTGACTCTGCAGAGTGGCCCAGCCAAGGTCCCTGTGGGTGGCTGAAGAACAAGGCTGTGCCCCCCAGACCCAGTGCCAGGCTGTGTCCCTGGGGACTGAGCCCCAGCCCAGGCAGGGGCAGCAACTGGAAGAGCAAAGTCATATGCTGCCACCTAAAGGAAAATCAGAGCATTGTGGTCACTTTCCCAAAGAAACTCTGGGCACTGCTTGAACCGTCTGAGCGGGTTATTACTTCAGCAGAATTATTGAAATTCATTTAGGACCTGATCATGAATTTAATAGGATGGTAATTTATTAGCACTTGGA